AAAAAAAATCTGTTTTATCGAGTTTTTCTTATGGTATGTTGCTTACTTATACTGTCCCTAGATACAAGATTTCGAAGATCCCAGCTCCCACTCATAAGTTACAAAATTACCCTATAAGCCCCGTAAGAAACCCTTATAATGGTTACGGATCTTACAAATTCGTATAAAATCGGACATTTAAGAAGAACGAGACGACCGATCGGCAAGGGCTAGACGAATTTTGGGTCAGGCTGACACTGACAACACGGACACAACCACGTTTGAACCTCATCGAAATTCGTAATAGAAACTTTGCAAAAGAGTTCACAGATCCTACACTTGACACTAACAGTTTTTCGGTGTTCTAGTCAGTGTAGGCGGCGAACCAGACGACACTCACCTGCGTTTGAAGTGTTGTCTAGTGGACGACACATAACTCTATCTATGGGAAGTTTCGTGGTTGTCGTATGTTAAGTTTTGCGGTAGAAAAGTGGCAACAACTGGCTTTATGACTTTTGTAACCTCTCCATGGCGGATATTTTTTGAGCCAGTCGTGTAAAGATATCTGTGACTTTCTGGAGACGGGCTAAGTGTGAGAACATAGCCTCATGTGTGTTCTACTCGAGACCACCTGCGGAAATCAGTTTTCATATCCCCTTTCGGCGTACAGAGAAGTTTAAGTTCGAAATCGGGAGTTGTGGCCAAGCAAAATGGTTACGGATCTTACATTTTAGATCCTTTCCGTTCAAATATCTTTTGAAAAGGTGACTTTAATGTCAAAGTAACATTTGTTTTGTGTTTAGTTAGTTTGAAGAACCAGAGATAGCAAAAAATTCGTTCAGATCCGTTAAGATTTCGATGAAATAGAGCGTGGACAGGAAAGTGACCCATTCGCGGAGAACTGCTCACTGGAACACCACATTCAAACTGCTATAACCCGTAAAAGCCTCCGATATTGGGTGATATTATAGTAAATACGAGGGGCAACCTAACCTTACCAGCGCCCCAGCTGCTAACAGATGAGCGGTTCTGTGTAGAACTCGAGGTGATGAGCAGTTACGTTTAGCCGATATTTAAGCACGACACATAAAGTTCGATGGGTCCTATGAACATCGTCTGATCTCTCAGTGACGGTGACGGTCATCGTTGCCATCTCCTACCGGCTTAACAGTGTCCAATCTCGCGTTTGACGCCCAACAACACCAATTTTCTATAATTAGAACTTGGCTAATACCCGCAGTTGAGAAAAGGCAGAAATATAGTATGTGCTTCTTGACCTTTTAGGATCACACAGCAATTTTTACTTTTTCGCAACTGCCATTATTAACCAACTCGTAATTGCGCTGCAGAGAGCGTCAGCAGCACGGTAAAAGCCATGTCTCATTTTTTAAGGGAAAAGTTGAAACTTTGGAGAACTCCCCAGATTTTGAAAAAGTCTCAAAGAATGAGGGATTTTTCCTTATTTTTTGAGAATATTCCTTAAAATCTGAGGCGAGATCGGAGGTCTTTTCTTCAAACAAAAGAGTTCCTCACAGTTTCCCCTTTTGTCTCAAAAATGAGACATTGATTTACCGTGAGATCGGACAGACAACGTTGAAACGTCACTGAGTGAGATCGGAGAACGCAAATAGGACCCGTCGCGTTACCAACCATCGACATTCCAGGCCCCTTCTGCTTGAGTCGCGGACACTCCAGCTCCAAAGAGCAGTCCCGGAGGTAATTTGTATAGGTCGTCAGGAACTTCATCTTGGACGCGAGTGCGAGTAGGTACCGTGAGCACTGCCGCCAGCGTCCCACGGGCGAGGACGACGCAACAGACCACAGAGACCGCTAGTTTCATGTCGCTTAATGACAGCAAGAGCATGCAACTAAACTAAACTCAACCATTCACACTCCTTTTTATCTCCGACTACTCGTGCGAACACTCGCAGACAAGTGGGGTCCTCACGCAGTAAGCGCATGACGCGTGAGATTGCAATATGTGACTTGAGTACTGTGATTTCATCCCCCCCCCCCTTTTTTTGCCACCAACGTGTATACACTGATAAATAAAGTGTTCACTGCACGGAAAAAAAAGTTACCTGGCCCAGCTAATACAGTCAGTCAAAATGGCATTGGCTAATATTCTCATCAGATATGGGTAAATGTTACGAGCTACAAGCTACAGCAGCTAGTTAGTCTAGTGTCTGTCGTAGAGAAGCATAAGCCTATTAGCTCCCAGAGCTAATGCATCACCAGTACCAGAAAAGTGAGAGTAGCCACCACAGCTAACAAAGGTTGAAGATGAATGAGAACATTGAATTAGTAATGTTTTCATATTATTGTACACAGTGCACACCCTGATGGAACTCTGCACATAGGTCTGGAAGCGAGACCTTCCAGGTACCGTCCCATTTGTCTCAAATTAGATGGGTTTGGGAGACCCTGAATGGGTCTGATTCACGCAAAAAAAGGATTAGCTGAGAAAGCTAATGTAATAGCTGGATTCGTGATAGGTATTAATACTAGCTAGGCCAGCAAATTTTCTAGTTCGGACGGCTAAGATCATACCCGTAGTAACTGGTCAGTACTTAGGATGGCGAAAAAGTTTGCTGCTACAGCTAATTTTACTACCTATCTCGTATCCAGCTAATCTGTTTTTTGCGTGTTTACATCCATTAGGCATCCACATCGTCCCCAATACACTCCGGTCTCCATCCCTGACACCCACACCCCACCCCGTCAAACTAGTGCCAATTTTGGTCAATTTGAGAAAAATGTCATCATTTTTACTCTTATTTTGCCCAGAACTGACCCTGTATTCAAATACCAAGGTCTCCTATTTTTTATAGTTAGTACTCATCCAAATGAAGAAGTTGGGGCAATAAAATAAAAAATCTAGGTCTGCCTGTTTTGAGATACAAAGTTTTGAATGTTTTAACCCTAGCCAACATGACCCCATGGTGAGTCTTTTTTTTTTTTAACTCAGACTATATGTGCCCTTTCGATTAAGTACAAGAACGTCCTGCTACCTTGAATACTTAAGGATCCTCGATTTTAAAAGATTTCATCATTTTACAAGATTTCTTAAAATTGCTGAAACTTTGAAGCCCCATAACTTTTGAACCGTTTGAGCTAAAGACCTGCGCTTGGGCTCGTTTCAAAGCCCAACACTATTCCTACAACCCACAGGAATCGTATGGATGGCGCTATCCACTCCAAATCAGCAGGTAAAAAATGACCCCTTTGAATTTTCAATTTTCTTGTGGCTATCGATGCTCCTTTAGATGCTACACACAGACCGGAAAAGAAAATTTCGATATCTCCACTAGTTGGGGGTAGTGCACGGGTCAAAGTTTCGTCCCCCACCCCCTCAAAATCACTGTCTCGGCCCGTACGCCGCGCGCGCGCGTCGCACACCAAATTTTGCCAGTGTGTAGTACTAAGGGAGGCCTTTCGAAGCCGCACGGTGCGAACCGTCATCCACTACTTATATCGAAAAATTCAACATTAAAAACGGGACATGAGTCCGCTAATTTGTCGTAAAGTTTTTTTTTGTTTTCGATCGCACTTTGGCGCCGGGTACTAGCCTACCATAGCTACCGATAGCAAAAATAATTAGCGTGGGATCTCTATGGGCTGGCTTGGGAAACTCGCAAAACTGTTTAGGTGCCCTAGGAGACGATTCAAAGCGAGGCGCCGCGCTCGGGAAGCTTTGTTGCCGGCCGGCTGCGCGCGCATCTGAGTGTTGATCTCGGTGTTGCTAGAGCGGCCGCTCGGCTCTCCGCTCACCGCTCGAGCAGAGCACACATAACCAGGTGCCGAGGGTCAGTACCTGTGTTCGAAGTGCCGTAAGAGAGCTTCATGTCCTCCCGAAATCGTCGTGGCGGCGAAACGTCTCCGTGTGGACGTAGCAGACGAGAACAACAACGACGATGACAACAACAACCTCAACCACCACAACGACAGTGGGGGTGACGGTGTGTACACTGCCGAAGAAGCTCGATACATCGTTGACTGTTTGAAAGCTAAGTTCAAAAACTGCACCAGCTTCGCCGAGAAGGTGAACGTCATCTCCCTCGTCCCCTCCACCTGGAGTGAGGCGCGGGTGTGTCGCGAGTTTGATACGACACGGTATCTCGTGCACCGTACGCGCGAGCTCGTCGCGGAACAGAGAACGGTCTTCCCTGTCGTCCCAACCAAGAAGGGAAGGGCGTTACCTCAGGACACAGTGGAACTAGTGAAAGGTTTTTATAACGACGAGACAATAGCGTACTGTACGCCAGGCATGAACTCTAAAGTTACTGTGAAAATTAATCGCGAGAAAACCACGCTACAAAAAAATATTTGTTGTGTGATTTCGATGTTTTATTGTAACTCTTTAAAGACCACAATCCTGAAATTGAAATTGGCCGCTCAAAGTTCGCCAATTTACGTCCGCGAAACTGTGTGTATGTGGGGGCGCCAAGTAGTGAAAACGTGTGTGTGTGAAGAACATCAAAATGTCACACTAATGTGTCATGCCCTGCATCCCCTTCTGAAGAACGCCCCAGAAGATTTGCGTTTAGTCTTCAAGGGGTACAACAACGCTCTCCCCGCCATCATGTGCAACACTCCCAATGAATCCTGCTTTCGGAGAAAGTGTGGTGTTTGTTCTTCCCTTCCCAGCAACCTAGTGGCAGAGGTCACTTCTAACATTAGTGCAGATACGACAATCGTGTACAGTCAGTGGGGCGAAACAGATAAACGAACAAATTTGAACACCATCTCGGACAGTGTTGATGATTTTTTGAAAAAATTATGCAAATCTTTTGACAGTCTGGCGTGGCATGATTTCCTTGCCCGCGTACAGTGCTCGTCTCTACGAGAAATCAAAGACAATTTAAAGGAAGGGGAGGTGGTTGTGTGCGCCGATTTCGCGGAAAATTATTCGTTTGTTATGCAGAACAGTGTGCAGGGATTTCATTGGAACAATGCCCAAGCCACAGTGCACCCATTTGTCTGCTACTTTAAAGTTATCACACTTGTCATTCGTCATCATTTCAGACTGCAAGGATCACAATACTGTCGCTGTTCACACTTTTATTAGAAAATTAATTGCAAAACTAAAGTCTGATTTAGGAAATTTCACAAAACTAATTTATTTCACTGACGGCTGTACTGCTCAGTACAAAAACTTTAAAAATTTCAAAAATTTATGTGAGCATGAAAATGACTTTAATATTAGTGCAGAGTGGCTTTTTTACGCGACTTCCCACGGCAAAAGTGCGTGTGACGGTGTTGGTGGCACTGTGAAACGTGAGGCACGTCGTGCCAGTCTCCAAAGCCCCTTCCAGTCCCCCATCAAAACCCCCCTGGAACTATACGAGTGGTGCCACAAAAATCTGAAGATGTGCTTCGACTTCGTGTCGCAAGTGGAAATCGAGGCAATGGAGCTGGAGTGCCTACGTGAGCGTTTGATTCCGTCAGCACGTTAACGGGTACCATGGCGTACCACTGCTTCAAACCGGTGTCGAACAGCGAGCTGGAGTGCAGGGACTACACCCATTCCACAGGGTTCAAACTACGAACTCTCCCGAAGCGAAAGAAGTAATCGGTGAGTCGAATTAATTTTTTGATTATTATTGTCAATGGATTTTTATTTGTTATGTACGGTGCCGTGCTGTCCTCTCCTATGCACTCACGCGCCTCGCCACACGCGTGAGCAAAATGGAGAGGGAAGGGCCGGCACGATGCACCGGACGAGTGGCCACTCTAGCCGCCCAGAGCCGTTGGCGCCAACAAAGCGCAATTCAAATGGGTCTCGCACTGGAATATTTAGGAATGACCAAAAACTAAAAACGACACTCAAAATCGAAATGGTAAAGTTATTCGCATATTCAATTCTGTAATTTGCAGTTTTAATGTCACTAGTTTGAAAGTTTGTTTCTAGTTGTTCCGATGTCATTTTTTGTTCTCTATCCCCAGTAATTAGAAGTGGGAGTGTGATGACTTTTGACCTCAACAAATGAATGCTGTTAGCAGATTTAACTTACAGGAATGGAACAAACAAATGTCCGAGCAAATGTCGTATAACTCTGGGTAAGGCAGACCCTTGTTAAAATCAGATGGATAAATTTTATTCAACCCCCCTCACTTGCCTCTGGTTTAAGTGAAATTATATCAAATAATATTCATTTCAATGTGTTAAAACTTCTCCCAGACTGAAAATTTAATCTGTCATTAATGCCGGTGGAGCGAAGAGGAGCTGGCAACTTGGTTCGGCGGAAGAGCGGGCCTAGCTTGTTTCTAACAATATCGTTCGGTCTCTTGCAAGTATATTCCCGTACAAAAAAAAAGCGGCTCCAGAGTGTCTCTAGAATGTCTCAGAAATAGACAACAAACAGACAGTGCACAGGCAAAGCGAAAACTCCGCTAGAGACACGTCCAATACGCGCTCGAGACATCGAGGATGTCTAAAAAGTGTCTAATTAAGAGTCGGATTTAGACATCCAGAAGCCGATGCGAAGCCAGCCAGGGGCCACACCCGAGACGGTAGGGAGCTTCTGCCAAGGCAACCGGAAGACACCCGGGAGGCAACCGGGAGACACCCAGGAGGGACCCAGCAGACGCCCAAGAGACACTGCGGAGACGTCCCGTTCGGGACATGTAGAGTCTCAGCGCACACATTAGCAAGTCTCCATCAACGGATAAAATGAAATAAAGTGTGGTCCCCCTTTTCCGTAGCCTCTTATGTATCTACGGTCCATTTCCTCGCTTTATGTTCAGTTTGAACGGTGTCAGAAGACGCCGTGCAGGAAAACTGGTTGGGCGCCGACCGGGATCGAACCTCCGCTTACTATCCGGCCACCAGGCACGGAGACCACTGCGCCACAGATGCGCCTGGTGGGGGGACGCTCGAGAGCGCTGCTTCTGCCTGCAATCGCTACCTCTGAGAATCGAGTGCATCGTTGCGGCTGAGTTGTCGTTCGTGTATATTGTAAATTCTACCAACGGATCGCTCTGGCCAAGTGGGTACCGTACCGGAGCGCCGAACGCACAGTCGGTGATTCGACTCCCACCGGGTCCGGTTAACCGAAACATCGCCTCAGAGGTCCGATTGCCGAGGCCAGTCGCAAGTCGCGGCGGGAAGCTGAATTTTCAAACTTCCATCACATGGGTACAATTTTTTTTTTATTTCGTGGAATCCGTATTGTCTTCGCGATGTCTCTACGGTGGCTCCGGGACGTCTCCGCAGTGTCTCTTGGGCGTCTGCTGGGTCCCTCCTGGGTGTCTTCCGGTTGCCTCCCGGGTGTCTTCCGCCGGTCTTCCGGTTGCCTTGGCAGTAGCTCCCTACCGTCTCGGGTGTGGCCCCTGGCTGGCTTCGCATCGGCTTCTGGATGTCTAAATCCGACTCTTAATTATACACTTTTTAGACATCCTCGATGTCTCGAGCGGAGTCTTCGCTTTGCCTGTGCACTGTCTGTTGTCTATTTCTGAGACACCCTGAAGCCGCTTTTGTTTTGTACGGGAAGGGTGAGAGCTTGGTGAGAGATCGTACATGTACAATACGTTTTGTCAATTTAAAATAACGAAATAAGTTGTAATTGTACAAAAATATTTCTCACGGTGGCATTGTTAATGAAACTTGCACTTCATATCAGTATTTCTTGTATTTAATACCAAATATTGTTGTCCTTGGCTCAGGCAATAATTTTCTAGGGTAGAAATTGTGCAATCATAATTAAAGATTGTAAATGTACAAGCACTCCTTATCGATTGGACGAGCAAGGGTGAGAGTTTGGTGAAAGATCGTACATGTACAATACGTTTTGTCAATTTAAAATGACGAAATAAGTTGTAATTGTACAAAAATATTTCTCACGGTGGCATTGTTAATGAAACTTGCACTTCATATCAGTATTTCTTGTATTTTATTATCCTTGCCAAGGCAGCTTTTATTGTGATAGTTCGTAGTTAATCGTTACCTCTCTGCTTGCCAGACATTCAGAAATTGTCTTAAGGGGAATGTGTGGAGGCGGCGAGGTGCCTCTTGAAAGAACCATATCCTGATAGCCCGCTCGACGCAGACGCTGCAAATTTCTTTGAAAACAATGAAGCGTTATACTGACCAACGAAAAAGCGTGGACTACGATGCTGATGGTATGTTTAATGTGTTCTTAAAGAATCACACTAAAATGGAATACTTCAAAAAACGTAAATTATCTTTACTTTTCAGCTGCATCGCTAACCTCAGAACTGGACGACAATATTTCTATCTTGATGTCTTTCAACATGAATGCGGCCGAGGCTCTCGATAAGGGAGTGGAACATGAGTGGAACATGGCAGCTATTGCAAGAGCATATGACCGGGTATACCATGCGGTTTTATGATGACGTTGCGTCTGTCGTAGTCTGCTAAGTCCCTTAGACTGGACCGTACGTTTTGTAGTTCTTTGCTGTTCCTTGAAAGCTCTTCCTATACGGATCCGTGCCACTATTCGATGTTGGTGATTTTTTTCTGTTATTTTGTCCAATTTGGAGTTAACGCCTACAAGCCCAGTCTTGACAAAATGCACTGAGGTCGCGCAGCTGTTTGGTGAGGTTCTGGGTATCCATCTTGGTGGGGTTCGGTACCCCTGGGGTACACTTGTCTCGCCTGAAGGTGTTTTTTGAAGTCGTGCAGTCGGGGAACTATTTTTCAATTTCTTGGCACAGGTTGTGTGAAAGCTTGTAGCACATAGAACAGACTTGACAAAACTGTATTTTATCTTGTAGCGATTTTATTCAGAGGGAACACAATTCGGCATGTTTGGCCGTCAGCGTCTTTAATTAGTTGTACGAATATCATTTTGCTAGCTTCTATAGACTATGATTATGTTCCTCTAAATTGAAATGGAGCAGAGTCTAAAAGCGGAAGGCCAAAGCTGAAGTTCACACGCATGTCCAAAATAATCATGAAAACAAGACGGCGATTAACGACACTTACGGAAAGGAGGCGAATATCATGGTAGGGAACATTTTCTAAAACTCGTGATGTGACCATAAAATGACGTGGAACGCCGCGAAATATTGCGTTGCATTGGTTAAGTAATTTCTCGCTCGGACAGACGCAGGTTGACATGCAAAACTTGGCTCTTAGCTTTGTCGAATCATTGTTTTACTAACGCTGCTTCCCGATTCGGGGAATACTTGCAGGAACGCGAATCAACTCAACGTGCCTTGCATGGTGAGTGGGTAATCGCAAATTTATCATACGTCCTTGGCAGGCACTGATATGGTTGTCCGAGTGCCTGTGGAGTACGACAGCTTGCCGTGTGACGCCAGTTGATGCGAGCACCCGCACTTCGAACAATGATGGCTCGGCTATGTCTAATTGTTCCTTTCCTTTTTGCTACGGTCACTTCCGCTGGCAGTGAGTTATTATTTTTACTTGTCATTGTTGCACATGTCCTTAAGCTATAGAAGTATCAGACTTCTGCCAATTTCATTAAAACTGTCTGTGTTTGGCTGGAAGTGAGCTGTTCATTGTCTTTTCGTTTCGCTGTTTCCTACCCTTTTTCTCGATTTATTGAATTATTCTAAACGAGCAAGGGTTCTCAGCCCGCTTCAGCCTACTACTTAGTGTTCTGGTTTGGATCATGGCATTAGGTTGACAGATATTCTTGTGTACCCTTTCGATTGCAGTTTTTAGTCTGCCCTCCCCAGGTAGAACACAATCGTCAAAAACTCGTCAATGACCCTCATTTGACGGCAAAATTTGCTCATTCTGGCTACCTAGCCGCAGTAAATTTTGACGATGAGTGTCAAAGTGAGGTCATTGTGAAATCATTTTGACAAACGTGTTCTACCTGGGTCCTGCTTTGAAAAACATAACCAACACTCTTAGGACGAGCTGGTTTTATCCCGACGGCCCCGTGCAACAACATCCGATCTGCAAATTGTGTCGTCATTCCCCCTCCCTTCCTCTCACCTGTCGTTGGCAGGTAAGAGGAAGGGAGGGGATATAACGACACAATTTGCAGATCGGATCGGACGTTGTTGCAGGGGCCGTCGCATCTGTTTGGCAGAGGATTGGAATTGTCATGACATCGTAGGTTTCACTCCTAGAGAACGCACCTCCTACCGCCGCCGTTTCGTTCATCCAAAAGTGACCTCTAAGAAATCCTGAAAATTTGAAGTTTTCTTCTCCTCCTCCTTCTAGTCGAACAGACAGACGCCAGACTTCGTTAGACTGACAAACGCTAGACTGACGCGAGATCGATTGCCCTAAAGCCTCAGTATTATTTGTAGCCCGCCCTACTGCTTTGAAAAGGCTATCCAGCTGACTTATGCAAACGCCCTCGTGTCTGTGGTGTGCGTCTGTTCCACTAAAAGATGTGCTAGAGACTTGAAATTTTCAGTGTATACTAAGGTTTATTCCTAGAGTACGAAACGCCTACGGCAAATCCTGACAACCACCCCTAAGGGTGTAAACGGGGGTATCCAAGGTTCACAAATTCGCCTCAAAGTTATTTTTTTATGTGCTGCTAAGGGGTAACTCGTCAGAGTAGATCCCTTGAACGAAACTTTCTTCCGTTTGGCTCTACCCCTAACCGTTTAGGTGCTAAAGGGTATTTTTTGACGAAAATGAGCTAACAATTGCTGTGGTAGACAATAAGTTGTAGAAAAAGGCCTCAACTAACTAAATACAAAAGAAACTTCCTCCCCCACTAAAAAAAAAAGGTTTTTCCATGTCGCGGAGACAGAATGCTCATCTTCGAACTCGATCTATCTTTTTATGATACATAAATACCCTGAAATTCCCAGATCGCTATCTCAATAGGGCATTTCAATGGAGCGCTGCCCGCAACTAAGAAGAACAAAAGCGGATACAGAGAGCGGAGGTGGAGGCGGGTGCGCGGAGGAGCGGCGGGTGGAGGGGAGCCTCCCCACCCGCCCTCCGCTCCTCCGAACGCCCGCCCCCACCACCGCTCCCTGCATCCTGTTTTGTTCTTCTTAGTTCCGTGCAGCGCTCTTCGTTCTCGAGTTATCCAGCATACAGGCGTACATACAGACAAAAAAAAAATGAAGCATTTTCGGTCAGTGGAGTAATGGGCTAGGCCCCTACGCCTAATCACCTAGCAAAAAATCAAAAACCGCACGCACAAAATGTATTTTTCATCGAATATAACAGGTTTCTTAGGGGTAACTCGTCAACGTTGAGTCCCCTGGACGAAAATTTCGTCCGTTTTGTTCTATAATGTACCGTTTGGGTGCCACAGATCATTTCTTGACGAGAATAAAGTCGAAATGACAAATGGTCTATTAAATCGAAGAGAAGTCTTCATATCAAACAATTGTAGAAGTGGTACTTTAACCACATATTTGGCGTACAACTACACATTTAACGTCTAGGTGCACTAGATAATCCACTAACACTAAAACGTTGATTTTTAAATAACAATTAATAAAATAAAATCAGAACTTTTAATGAGTATCTTCATCAAATATCAGAAATTTCCCTTATATTAGACTGATAAGCCCCCCACAAATGAAGTGAGCACCGCAAATGAGGTATTCCAGCGGTTAGAAGAACAAGAAGAAGTTCCAAGATGGCCGCCGCGGAACATAACATTCAACTGTTTTCTCGAGCGACTGCTCGCGCTCGGGAGCCCCAATAACCTACCTTATGTTAGATCAAAGATGAGTGCGAGCGGCTGCTAGCACCCTCTTCGAGAAAACAGTTTATGGTTGTTGTGTTCTGCGGCGGCCATATTGGAACTTCTTCTTGTTCTTCTTACCGCTGGAATACCTCATTTGGGGTTGGGGGCCGAAAGGACCTATTTCAGTATACACCCCTGTTCACTTGTCCCGGGTGGCCTAGCTATATGTGCGCCAGGCGCGTCACAGCTAACTGTGTTTCGTGAGATATTGCAAAGCCTGTTACGCGAGACGTGGTCAAACGGACAAAATTTTATGCCTTAAAGCTCAACTTTCACGAGTTACCACTTACAAGACCATGAAAAAATATTGAACATTTTCTACTGTTTACACCAATCCCTATTTCTTTGTTACCTCCTTTCACCCATTAGAAGTGGTTGCCAGGATTTTCACCCATAAGATACCCTGAAATTTGTAGACGTCTAGATTATCTTCTTCCTCTTACATTGACGACAGACGGACGGACACGAGAGCGGTTGCATAAGCCCGCTTCAATGCTATTTCGAGCGCAAAAGGGCGGGGCTAAAGCTGAGGTGTCTACTGACGGACAGATATTTACTTCATTACAGAAGCGGATTCATGGATTGATACTTTTCGGAAGGACCACGTTCGCTTTTATTTCTTTAATAAGTGAGTACATATCATACCAGTCTGAGGAGGACTCGAGAGGACTTCAAATTCCTGTCAACCAGTCAGAAATAGTTGATTTACGTCGAATAGGGTACTCCGCTAAAGCGTTGAGCGGAACTCAGAAGAACAAGAACGGAAAGCGGAAAGGCGGCTGCGGATTGCTGGGCGGAGAGGGGGAGCGCGCTAGCCAGCCGCCACACGAGCGTCAGCCGAGCGTAATGGCCACTAACCGAGCGGCGAGCGGCTATGGTGAGACCAGCCTAAGGTCGGTCTTTTCACAGCACGGGCAGCATAGGAGTTTGCAGGCGAGAGGGGGTGAAGAAAAGACGGACCTTAGGCTGGTCTGACTATAGCTAACGCGCTCCCCCTCCCCGCCCAGCCCAGCAGCGCGCAGCCGCCTTTCCGCCTTCCGTTCTTGTTCTTTTAAGTCCCGCTCCGCGCTCTAGCGGAGTACCCTATTGAAGTAATGAGGGGGGGGAGGGGCTCGGATTGTCAAAGGTTTGTATCTATTCGGCCCATAAGGGATCCCTATGATGGTAACGGCTTACAAACACAAGATCTGACATTGCAGTCGAACAGGAACTGGACGACCAAGCGGTCATGGGAGGCAGGGGGGAAAAGTGGGTCGCGTACTCCGAAGCAGGTTTACTCCATGCACTGTTTAAAGCGAGCGGAGAACTATTCTTGAAGTGATGTAAAATGCTTTGCATAGAGAGCTAAATCCTTCACATCATTGCAAACTGATTCTTCGCACCTTCCGAAGGAAAATGATCGTAACGCCGCAAAGAATTACTTCGTAACCTTGCAAACCGTTTCTTCGCAATTTACGAAGAAAATAGTTTGCAACGCAAATTTTCTTTACCATGCTTCAACATTCTTTGCAAGAATTTTGCAGTGCACGGACCTAGGTCTGTTGGAACTACACCAACATTGGCAATAACTTAGCAGTAGAGATCGTGGATCCTATACACCACGGTTGTTTCAAACCGTCTTTAGATGTTGTTGTCAGTCCAGGCTGCAAGCTAGAACTTATTCTGACCTGCGCTGCGTTTGGAGTGCCGTTTGGTAAAAATAATATTGATGCCAGTCTGCTGTTACACGAACGATTTTATTTTTCAAACCTTTTAAATGTAGGAACACCTCTCAACCTGATGGCTATCAGATATCAAAGGATTTTCAGACGGAGGATATATTAGCTTCAGGATTTAAGCCGGAATACCCTTCAAAGGTAATTATTCCTGGTTGGAACAGTCGTGTTACTAACCCTTTGATACAGCAACTGAAAAATGGTAAGTACAACAAAGTTATTTTTATGTAATCTTCCTACACAGTTTTGATTGGAACAAATAATGTAGGCCTACTTATTTTGCAGCTTACATTGACAACAATGGAGGAACGGATCTTAACGTCATTATAGTAGACTGGAGTGACCTGAGCTACTTCGGCTTTGGAAACATAAACGGAGTGGGAAAGCGAAGTGCTGAGCTACTAGATTTTATGGTAAGACACTTTGCTCAGAAGTTTTCGCTGTAGTTCCACGCTCATTGAATGAACCTCTTAAAGTAAACGGGCATGTTGAGTACGAAACTCCCTGGGCACGTCGGACCCGAACCATACTGCAAAACTGTAGTTGATTTCATTTACGAGTACCTCTCTGAAGCTTGGCGGCGAGACTTTGCCGAAAACCATCAATGTCACCATCAAGTTGAGGTAAATTCGTCATTTACCTATGACGTAGGGGTACGCGGTACGCGCGGCAGGCCCGCAGTGGCTCAGCGATAGGGCATCCCTCTAGAGCGCGGAGCGGAACTAAGAAGAACAAAAGCGGATGCAGAGAGCGGTCGTGGGGGCGGGCGGGGAGGCTCCCCTACCACCCGCCGCTCCCCTCCCCTTTAAAAATGAAACGAGTGCGGTGCGAGTGCAGCGCGAGTGCAATTCGAGTGCAATTCGAGTGCGGCATCGAGTGCGTCCCGAGTGCGGGGCGAGTGCGTCGCGAGTGCACTGCGAGTGCACTGCGAGTGCGTCGAGGTTGGCAGGCCGGCAGCAAGGAAAAGGCTGGGCAGGGCGGCGCGGGGGACAGCACAAACACTCAAGACAAGTAATTATTAATGTTTTTCTAGTCCTCACAGATGCTATGTCAAAGCCTGAGGCGACAAAATCATGGTTTAGACATTGGGAGGGGGAGGGAATATTTGAAAATGACCATTTGTAAAAATGACACTCAAAATCGAAATTGTAAAGTTATTCGCATATTCCATTCTGTATTTTTCATTTTTAATGTAAACGTAAATGCCTTATGCTCAGGGCCTATAAGAGTCGAAACAGCAAAGTTATTGTTCCCCTAACTGACAAAAGTGCCAAAAAAACACCAAATTGTCAATTTGAGGGGGAATAACTCTGCCATTTCGATTACGATTTTGGACACAAAACATTTTCGTTTTCTTTTGTAAAGAGGAACCTGAAACAATAGTGGTCTTTTCACATTTCTCCCAAACCACCCCCCAGCTTTAAATTCCATATGGAATTCCTGTTAATTTCCAGATGGATCTGGTTTTTCCATATGGAATCTCGTTTCCGCAATGGAATTTGGTATGGAATAATTTTCCGGGGTGGATTTGTGAAAATCCACTATGGAGCTTGATCTGGAATATTTTCCACTGTGGATTTGTGGTTTTCCACTATGGATTACTGATTTCCCACTATGGAATATTTTCCATTATGGTCGGTTGCATTTTTTCCACTATGGATTTGCAAATTAAATCATAACTTTTTAACTAAGTCTAACACAGAAATTCTGACTGGAGCACTGTGAATAATACGTCGAAATGTTCACTCTTTGATGGAAAAGTAAAAATCGCGATTCTCAACTCGGCTGTATCTTCGTAACAAGTTCTCGAATCGAAAATCTGACCGAGCGGTGGAAAGTGATATTTGGGCAGAAGACAGTCATAAATAGGCACTCAGCCCTAAAAGTCACAAAGAAAGCATTCCGGTAAAGCTAAAATGCAGAAGAACGCGGGGTAGAAGAAAATGTAAAGGGCTATGCTTTAACATGGTGAGTTCTGAGTTCCGAGTTCCGAGTTCCCCGCATTCTTCTGCATTCCAGCTTTACCGGAATGCTTTATTTTTGACCCTGCTTTGTTAGTTTGACGAGTAACGGTACCACACCGGGATGAAGTTAGCGAGGAAAAATCCTGGCCAGGAATAAGCTGTGTTTCTTTTATTGCTCGCGTGAAGGTGGGAACCGGCTTATTGAACGTGGAGCACGTGCATATCATCGGGATGAGCGAGTCTGCGCACATAGCGGGCGTCACGGGCGAGTTCATCAGCAGCGGCCGTGTGGCTCGCATCACAGGCAAGTAATTAGGCCCTCCCACCAGCACAGAATACTTACGACTGTCGTACATCGGTCGAAAAAATAAAGATGCGGACTATAATCGGTGCGATACACGAAATGAGACGAGTGATTCTCTCGCTTAACCATATTTTCTCTCGAAACCAAAACCTTTTATGGGCCACACATCTTACGGCGAGCTTTGGGGAGTGATGCCAACGTTCATACATACACAACATCTACCTTTCTAAAAGTATGAATTTTATAATTTTTGAGTTAAAATACTGCGAGAGAGAAAACTACGGTTAACCCTCCCTAGTAACACAAAGGTGTGATTTCAAACCTTTAAAAGGCATTCAAGTTCTAAGCCGAAAACGTTTTAGTATTTTCGAAATATTTACTGCTGAAGCAAAACAAAGTTTGTAGGACTAATATTTTCGCAATCAGCTCAAAATTCCGCTGCGAACGAGCCTACATGTGATCTGTGTCTGAAGAACGGTGAAAGAAGTAACTGACCCTCAGGAATCTACTTTTTTTTTTCATTTGAGATTTGCACCCAACCCTATCACATGTAGGCTTGATCAAAGCGGAATTTTGAGCTGAATACGAAATATAAGTTCTACAAACCTTGGTTTGCTTCATCAGAAAATATCTGGAAAAAACTAAACCGTAAACGTCTTTTCACTTTCACGCTTCTGGAAAAGTGTTAATTTACACCTTTGTTTTGCCAGTGGTGCCATGGCGTCACCTGATGTCATAATGTTTGCGCCCCTCTTGCGCGTAAACCACTGCACCTTGACATCTATAGCTTGACCAGCCTAAGGTCCGTCTTTTCCTCACCCCCTCTCGCCTGCAAACTCCTATGCTGCCCGTGCTGTGAAAAGACGGACGTTAGGCTGGTCTCACTATAACTCTTGTGCGTACGTGAAGGGGAAGGTCTTGTGATCGATTTGATACCCTCGTTCGATAGTATCGCCAAAACCAAGGCACGCTACAACTTCTGAAAGATGGCGAGACGCAAGACATCGCCTTAGACGTAAACAGTGCCCTTCACGGATGCGTCACCTAGGTCTGTTCGAACGTTTCCAACTCAATCAAAGGTGTGTGCTTATAGTTCGAGAACCGTAGAATAAAATAGCCTGGCCAGATTTATGATTTGCTTCCGTTTTCATTAATCTATGATGCTTGCGAAACAGATGTCAAGTGACGCCATCGCACCTTGCCGTCACCGTTTTCGTTACTCTGGCTGCTTTGTGTGACAGATCCAAAAAGATTTGACCAGCGGCATATGTAGAGACTTATTTAGCAGACGGTACCTTCAAATACCCTTACTTTAAACATAAAGAATATATAAAACTTTAGGTGTTTACTCTCGATAAAGAAGGAGGACAGGAGAGAAGACCAGTGAACAATTTCTCGCTGGGCGAATGGTTAAGAGTCGCGTCGCTTCAGGCCCCTCCTCACCCTGCCTAACAATGCTGCGCCAGTCAGACCCCTTCACTGCCCAACAATACTAGGCCAGGGATGCCGGCCGCTCTGCCCCCCCCCCCCCATCTTCTCCTCTGTGCCGCTAGTCCGACGAATTTTCAGATAGCAATTACATACAGATATGAACAAATGCCAGCTAAATATTAGAGAAAATTGGGATTGGGACACACACCTATCCTTAAATTTGCATTCTGCTTTCAAGATCGATTCTTGATTGACATTAATAGGTAGTCTGGACGTCCGATTATAACTTAAGAAAAACTTAGAAATTAGGCGAAAATTGTGCTGTTTTCTCAATTTTCTTCATATTGTTTTCTCTCATTGTACCAGTAGACCAATTCCCCCTACAAAAATATATTCTTTGCACAACATAAAGAAGCTGATATTGTGAATTTGGCGGAGCCTAGATGAGAATGAACGTCCGAAAGTGGTAGGGGGCGGGTCTTCGAAAACGGACAGCGGTAGACAGGGGGGTGGGGGGGATTTGGGGGCGAAAACCAGTGGACGTACTTTATGGATGATCCCTATAATAAACAAAATTTTGAGCGTTCTAATCACTATCTTGGTTGCCTACGCGGTACAGGCGTTATGACAACAGCAGCAGCTAGGTAGAAACCCTATAACTTCTACACTTGTGTATGGAAACCGGGTCCCCAGGCAGTTTTGGATAGGTAAACGCCTCTCGATCACGATTTTGACCAGAAAACAGGAATTATTAATGAAATGTTCGTAGAATCACGATATAAAAGTAGTTCATATGCACCTCTAAGGGTTAAGGTCTCCAAAAGATATTCAAATCTGTCACGTATCACCTCAGATTTGACTTTAGACTTCATTGGATCTGCTAATTTCTGCGAAAGATTTTCAGAGCTATTGCTTGAACTATCAGCTAAAACTCTCTACGATTAAAATGTGTGTGCAGGTTTGGACCCATCCCGACCATTTATTGACATGACGAAGAAACAAGGTCGCCTGTCTGTTGACGACGCAGACCTAGTAGACGTGGTGCACACAAACGCTGGCACACTGGGCGAACAGTCTGCCGTCGGCCACATCGACTTTTATCCGAATGGCGGCAAGAAACAGCCTGGCTGCGAGAACGAGTTTATAGGTACCTAGTATATTAGTACGTACTATATAAGAAGCAGACAAAACTGATGGCTCCCTGTAAAAGCATACGTTCTATTCGATACGCGTCTAAAACATTCCTTCTGTACGATAAGGGAGCCTGGGGTCCCATGGCGAACATTTTTTCAAATTGACCCTGACTGCTTATTTTGAACGATATTGTCTATTTCTCGACGTAAGATGTTAGATTGGTCTTTGTTCTTTCTAAAAATACTCATATCGAGTTCGTAACACCCTTAATATTAAAATAGAAGAGATTTTAGCAAAGCTCTGCAAAAGCTCATGGAACCCCAGGCCTGGGGTCCAGTGAGCCTGCCTTGGGGAAACATGAGCCTTTGCCAATATTAGGCAATACAGTAGAGCTATTCACATTCGAATCAAAGGGAATGATAAATATAGCCTCTATTTATGCGCCTGATCTGGTATAATAGCTTTGTCGCAAGAGAAACAGCCGTAGAAAATATTATTTATGTTTGTATTAACCTTAGAGCAAGTTCAAAGTGAAAAATTCTTCGGAATCGAAATTTGATTCTGGTAATGCTGTTAAGAGGCATTTTACTAAACAAGCACACAATATATGAAGGAAAAAGAAAAAAAAAGATTTTTTGAGGCATACGATGGGGCATACGGGACCCTAAGGATCACTTAGCCCATGGGACCCCAGGGTACACTTTTCAGAATAAATGTTAAAATTAAGTGAATGAGAGGAGACTTCGCCCGGAAATATAGTTCTATAATACAGCCGAAAGACCACAGAACGGATTGATACCATTACAGTGACTGATAGAGGACGTTTAAAGTATGAAACAAAAGGTCAAAGTGAAAAGTCAAAAGTTACTTTTGCCTGAAAATCGCTATTAAAAAGTTTGACCACCACTCACGCCTGTTGAATCGCTCATAGTGGTAAGCCCAGGCTCGGTTTCGAACAACCACCTGACCGACAACTTAACAGCAGTTTTGATCAGTGACTCTGATTTACTAATGCTGAGATATCGGGCCAGGCTCATGGGACCCCCAGGCTCATGGGACCCCACGCTCCCTTACGTGTCTAAAACATACTTTTCGTTTTTAGCTTTTTTTGCAAGAATGTTTTTGATAGCCAATTTACTAGATTTGCATGCAAAATTTTTTCGTTTTTATGGGCGGAATACAAAGAGGGAGGATTGAACTTTCACCTGATACCGAGAAATGAATGTTTAATAACTCTCTTCCATTCTCAAACGGCTGCCGAAAACATGCTAGCGAAAACCGCCGAAAACGAATAGTATGTTTCAGAGACGTACCGTGTAGATTGTATGGTCTAGACGCGTACCGTACAGAACGTATGCTTGTGCAAGGAGCCGTCGAATTAGAGATCAATATATTAAAATAGTTCCGTATTGTACTCAAAATCCCTTTCCAAAGGTATACGTATGAGTGACTCGAAAGCTGATAAGGCACTTTTATAAACAATTACCAAAAATCTTTCCCAGGGGTGATGATTCCATGTTTGCAGTAAAATAAATGCAAATCGACGCGTCCTAGCAACAATGTTCTATCTACGGAGCGTCGTTTTCAAAATGTTCTATCTACAAAGCGTCGTTTTCACAATGTTCTATCTGCTTAAGAAAATCATAGCAGATAGGACATTGTGAAAACGACCCTTTGTAAATAGGGCATTTTGAAAACGACGCTCCGTAGATAGAACATTGTTGTTAGGACGCGTCGAAATGACGTACATTGTACTAATCATTGTTTTAGTAGTGCTTACAAACAAATTTCAAAGTATTTCAGTCGCAGACTGTTAGTGTGGTGTACATTACAAAAGCAAGAATTCAGTATATTTGGCATTTTTTTTCAGGGTCGTGTTCGCATGAACGCGCAGTCCTCTTATTTGTTGAATCGATCAACAGCCCTCATGCATTTCAAGCTTGGCGATGTGAGAATGAATGGGCAGCTTTGCACGACCGCTGCCAAATCAGCGATACTCTTGCTACTATGGGCGAGCACCTTAGCTACAGGTAAGGATCGTAGCTAGCTCGAAATTTTAATGGGGCCGAAGTGGGATCCAGAGAACAAGGATTTATTGGCTGAGCGATTTGCGATGCCTTTAACTCCAGTGATGATAAAAAAAAATGTGTCTGTCTGTGTGTTTGACTGTCTGTGTTAATGACTTTCTGTGTTAATGACTGTCTGTGTTAATGACTGTCTGTGTTAATGACTGTCTGTGTTAATGACTGTCTGTGTGTCTGTCTGTTCCGCTTTGAGTAGATGTGCTTGAGACTTCAAACTTTAAGGGGATCTCAAGGTTCACCCCCAGAAAACGAAACGCATACGGCAAATCCTGCCAACCACCCCTAAGGGGCTGGAAGGGGGTATCAAAGAAAACAGGAAAGGTCAAAAATTTCGACAAAATATTTTATCTTATGCCCTTTGAAGGAGTAGCTCGTGAAAGGAGCATCCCTTAGTCTAAAATTTCGTCCGTTTGGCTATATCTCGCACCGTTTGGGCACTAGAGGGGATTTTTCGACGTAAATGCGCCGTAAATGTCCACACTATGCGTAAAGTTTTGATATAATGAGGCCTTCATTTAGTTTCTTTATTATGTTGAGTTCAGTACTATCCTCATATATTAAAAGTATATCATCTACATCAGTTTACCGTGTAATTTTAGTAGAGCTATATCTTTTATGAATATAATGAAGAGGAGAGGCCCCAGTACCGATCTCTGAGGTACACCTACTGTAATAAGCTTTACAGGGCTGGACTCCCTGTCGACAGAGACATATTGGTATCTGTTTGATAGGTATGAGTTGAGCCAGCTATGACTTGGTCCTCATAAACCAGTTTGATCCAATTTTTTTGGAGGATGGAATGATCAACGATATCAAAGGCCTTACAGAGATCTATGCATTAATAGCCTAGTAGCAAGTCTGACTTAATCAAGTTGATCTTTAATTAGTGCCATTGCAGTAAGAGCTGCGTACTCTGTACACTTCTTGTTAGTGAATCCGAATTGTGATGTAGTAAAGAAGTTATAGGTTGTGTTAGGATGCGATGACATAGTTTATTTTGGAGGTCGGTTAGTACTTTTTCAATTATTTCCTCAGGTCCTTGATTTTTAAGATTCTTGTCGTAAAGTTTGTAAATCAAACCACTACTCCAGTACACAACCGTCATACTATATGGGGCAGGTAGGGAACAATTGCCGGTGAAATGGGACGCGGAGATAATTGTAGAGCTCCACTAGTGGAACATCATATCCACAGATAAAACAAGCAGGCCCGCCCTTCCGCCAAACGGAGTTGCCAGCTCCGCTTCGCTCCGCCGGCAACTCAGTTCGGCAGGGGCCGGGCCTGCTTGGCCTGCCGGCGGCGGTGGTCGGGCCTTCGGCTTCGGCCCGACCATTTCAGTCTCCTGATTTACTGAAGAACATAATAAAATAAATAGTGTGAATAATCAGCTTGCATGCTTGAGTAAAGTAAGGCTTCCGAAGGGGGCTTGCGGCCCTATACCCAGTCAACAAAACATAGTCCCGAACACATCCCTGGTACAACCCAGTTGGGATGTGGGACGTCCCAGCCAGGACGTCCTATAGTACTACAGAATGCAACATTTTTAAGACCCTGAGCAGACACTGTAAAAAATTTCTATGGTAGATTTCCTATAAATGTATCTGCAGCAATTCACATATACATGGATAGGAATTTTCCCATACAGGCTTGTGGTAATTGTACCATACGCGTTAGTATTCTTACCATGCAAGTATAGGAATTTTCCTATACACCTCGGTAGGATATATACTGTGTGTGTGTAGCATTATCCCTACACATGTATAGGAATTTTCCTATACACCCGATGCTCTTTAAAAAAAGAAAAAGTTTTTTTCAACCACTTTTCCGCCGTTTTCCCTTGTTCCTTGTCGCCTTCCTGCCACCTTTCGGTAATTTCATTTAAGTAAGTGAGCATTGATACAATTAGGGAATACCTCACCGTATGGAGAGTTAAACCTCGGACTTCTGTCTTGCGATCTTAAGATAAGCTCCTACCACAAGTACGTTCTGAGTGGGAGGTGATTAACACATCCCGCAAGGAACGTCCGCAGGAGGAACTTACAGGACCTGGCCATCATTTTATGTAAAACAATAGACAAAACAAAAGACTGTAACGGAGCAACACCGTGACTACACCCCACCCTTATGCTTTACTTATGAATGAAGAAAAATGAACCAGTGAAGTTTTTAGATTTTATTCCTTGTCAGACAGTCTTAAAACTTGACTTTTTTTGCCATTGTTTTCAATATATCCACCTCTAGGTCCGAAACAGTGAAATATACGGCAAATCTAAGGGTAGATCCTCATTCAGAATGTTTTTTTTTTTTTTTTTGGGGGGGGGGTACTTCCTCTGACATTTTACGATGTCCTTGTGCATAAAAATTGAGTGGTGACAGTATTAACTCACGCTCAGGGCCGCTTTAAAGTTCGTCATCGTGGATACTGCTCGCGGGCGGCATCGCGTCGTGCCTTTTATACCTGCACTATCTGCAGGTGAAGATTGACCGCACGGCTCGGCCCCCGCGCTGGCGAAGATAGCGAATGAACAATGAGCACGAGCCACCACCACAGCCCCTCCCAGTC